GTGTTTATTTTTTATTGAAAGTATGAATCGAATAATGTTGGAGACATTTCGTGTGTCAGTTCTTTCGGAATCAAAAAGAATTAGCACACATGTACAAAATAATCGTTCACTGATAGGCACAGGAGTGTTTATATCTTGCACTGAATGTAATTAATTAACAAAATGATTTCGGAAAAGAGATTCATTATTAACAATGTGCGGATAGATCCTTGTGGGGCAAAATTAAAAGATTGTTATAATATATTGAACAATAAAAAATATTAAAAAATTAAAATCTTCAGACACACTGGGTTGCATATTAATATTCTTTCGTTTTTATTATTATTTCATTTAGATTCCTCGACTAGTTTCGGCCAACATGGCCATCATCAGGAGAAAAATAATTTTCTGCTTGCTGGTAGCAGGAAACCTTAGAAATGAATGTCTTGATGGAGAAAATGAACTTTTGTCTGTAGTTTTCATTTATTTTGTATTTTGTATTTTTTTAACATGAATTTTGGTCAAACCTTGTGTTGGTCAAACAGTCTCTTTTAAGTTGTTATTTAAGATAAGAGCTGGATTGATTCATGCTGATTTGAATTCCCTTGATCATTTTGACAGATTTATTGGTTCCTGGAAAGGGGATGTGTCTCTGTTAAGTGTGTGTGTGTGTTATTTGTTTCTTAGGGAGTGAGTGAATATGATATGTGTAAGCGTGTGTATATTGCTGTGGGTGTGTGTTATCATTTGGCTCATTAGGGAGTGAGGGAGTATGATATGTGTAAGTGTGTATATTCGTGTGGGTGTGTGTATAAGTGTGAGGCCTCAACACTTCCGTAAGCATGCCTGTTTTGATTTGTAGGGCTAGACACTTATACTATCTATATTGTTAAATTTATATATATATATATATATATATATATATATATATATATATATATATGTGTGTGTGTGTGTACTACAGTTGAAAACATTGAAGGACCCTCAGAATTAGCATGGGATGAACTTGAAAATGTTCTTAGAGTCACTGAAAAAAAAAATTATTATATATATGAAAATGTGGAAAAAGTTTTCCTGTGATGCGTTTCGTCCCTTAGACCTTCATCGGACTAGGTTTCTTTATGTTGACGCGAGTATACATGAGCACGAATGGGAGACGCTGGGAATTTTAAATTTAGAAAAAAAAATGTGAGTTTTGGTCTATAAGGTAGCCAACATTATTGAGATTTATTTTCCTTTTTGTTCCATCATTTTTCTTATTAAATATCTCACATTGTGTTAACAGAAGATCTGACAAGAATCGTAAAACGTTGTAAGAACCTGGATATAAATTTACTGCGCAAATTCTAGCGATTAAAGCACTTTCTATACATTACACCTGAGTTAATTATTATGTCTTTTAATTGGAGTAGCTATTTTTATTACAAAAATGGTTGTCACTCTCGTTATAGTGAGGAACGAATGTTTTGTGTGTTGTTTTTATAAAAATGTCCATTTGTGTTCATAATAGATAGATATGAACAGGTTGAGATAGATAGATAGGTATGTAGATAGATCGATACATAGATCGTTACATAAGAACATAACAATATATGTATGTTTGTATATATGTATGTGCGTGTGTGTGTATGTGTATGTGTGAACAGGACGAGATAGACAGATCTGAACAAAACAAGATTGATAGATGGATATGAACAGAATGAAATAGATGCAAACATATATATATATATATATATATATATATATATATATATATATATATATATATATAAATATAAAATAAAAAATAAAAATATTAAAAAGGTTTCAAAGACAAATATTCCATGGTTCATTCATGGAATATTAGTGTTTGTTTTTTTATTATATTCTTATTCTGCCCTGGATTCTATCCTCTTAGAAAATATATATATATATATATATATATATATATATATATATATATATATATATATATATATATGTGTGTGTGTGTGTGTGTGTGTGTCGTGTCTGTGTGTATGTTGACCACTAATATTATCTATCTATCTATCTCTCTCTCTCTCTCTATATATATATATATATATATATATTTATATTTTGGATAGATGTGAGTTTGTGACCCTGGGTTTCACGCTTTAGCGACCGCGCATATAATATATAAATAATTATACATATATATATATTTGTTTATATTTATATACACTTTTCACATATATATATATATATATATATATATATATATATATATATATATTGTTGTATAATTTATATGCTCTGTTACAATAAATACATTGAGCTCTTTTTGTGGATTAGATTTAATGTTTAAGATTATTAGAATCCGCTTGGATTATAGACCAACGAATTCATTACATGTGCTCTCCCTCTCTCTCTCTCTCTCTATATATATATATATATATATATATATATATATATATATATATATATATATATATATATATATAACCTCTATTCCTATACAGAAACTGCCATTCCATCTGACATTCTATAGTGTTTAGCTACAGTGAAGCTTTTGGTTAGCAAAGTTCAAATTACTGTTTATAAACATACATAATCGACGATTATTTTCGATTGATCATTTCTGCTCACGAAATATATCTTAAGGTATATAATGGCAACACATTATGAAATATACTTATCTGTAGAGAAATAGTATGGCACGACAGATCTAATGACGCTTTCTTTATTCCTGTTGAAGAACGCATATTGTCTACGAAATTTCTGGAACATTCATGCCGGTAAATGCAATTAAAACTGTTAAAATTAAAACCCAGCACTTACTTAAAGCAATTGCATCTTTAAAAATGAAGTATTAAGAGAATATATATATATACAATTGCTTTAAGTAAGTGAGAGCACAATCATCAAATTTATGCACTGAATAATTAGCTAAAAACAAGCAAGAATATAATAACTTTCATAATCCATAGCCCAAATAAATAGTTTAAATACCCTATAAAAAAGATAACCCTTTATGAAGTCGTCAAAAAACAAACGTTGCGGCAGTTTTTTATATGCCCAAATCCCTTTCATAAGAAAATAAAATAAAAAAATAAAATAAAAAAATAAATAAATCTCCATAGACACGCATGCCAGACTAGGGTGAATACATCTTCCGTTTCAAATTTAGACACCCCCACCTTTCCCTGACTTGACATCGAAGAAAGTAACTCTATATTGATACTTATTATTAACACCCAACACACGCCTACCCAATTTAAACAATTCGCCCTAGCTGTTACCATGGAAATTTTGATTTCAATTTTTAAAACACGTAAATTTCAGATATACGTTATTCCAAAAAAACTTTCGCTTGAAGATGGAACAGAGCTTACTTTAACTCAATTTAATTCAAATAATTATATTGAAGTTTTGAAACATGAGACCTCTTATGTCGCGAGTTGGAATCATATTTTAAATAAATAATATATATATATATATATATATATATATATATATATATATATATATATATGAATATAGTTTTAAGGTGTGCTATATTTATGGGATAAAATGCTGAATATCAGACATAGAGCGTATGTAAACATAAATATAAATGTGAACGTTGAAGTCAGCACTCAGAGCTTTTTCATGCTAGACGAATGATGATTGCGTCTCGTATGAAACAGCCTGTTGCTCTGTGTGTTGACTTCAATGTTCACTTTATATTTATATTTATATATATATATATATATATATATATATATATATGAAGAAAAATATATACGGAAAAAAAACAAACAAAAAATCCTTATATGCAATTATGCTGTTTTAATGTTAATATGTCAACGTCGGACGTTTCGGTCTAATAAACCATCTTCAGGACATATTCATAAAATATAATTAATATTATCAATTCAACATGACAAAGACGATGTACATAAGAACAAGACTTATCCAAACAGTTAAATGAAAGTTTTTGAATATGTCCTGAAGATGGTTTATTAGAACGAAACGTCCGACTTTCACGTATTAACATTAAAACAGCATAATTGCATATAAGGATTTTGTTTGTTTTTTTCCGTATATATTTTTCTTCATACTGTCGGATCTATATCCATATCGATAAAAAGAATACCCGCTCGGCCCGGTGGCTAGGATCAAAGTGTAGTATCTGCGCTTTGTGAGCTGCCGGGTCGGGTGTCTGTCGAACTCTCTGCTTGCAGAGAGGAACTCGGACGAAGCTCCGCCGAAGGGTAGGGTTTCGTTGGGGGAGGTTCACGGAACTAGCCCGCTTGGACGGGTTCAGATGGGTTTTATTTTTGGCTGGGCCTACGGGCTCAGACATACCCACATTAAAAAGGCCTTGTGCCACATTCAATTCCTGTGGGTGAATTGATAAATACCATCTATATCCATATATTTGCTTACACACACACACAGACACACACACACACACACACACACACATATATATATATATATATATGTGAAAAGTGTATATAAATATAAATAAATATATATATATGTATAATTATTCATATATTATATGCGAGGTACTTATTAGAAAGCGCTCAATATCAGAGATAGAGCTAACAAACTGACATCTATCCAATCAAAATATATATATATATATATATATATATATATATATATTTGTATATTTAGGCAGCAATCCTTCCTTTATGCATGTTTCATTAAAAACGACAGACAAGGTAATATACAGTTGATTTTTTATTTAATTTTTCTTGTGTTCTGACAAGCTTTTCTTTTCTGGACAAAGAGTGTGTAAGAACTGTCCGAATGTTCTGTGTTTCCGAGCGCTTTCGGCTATACCTTTAGCCATTATCATTATTATATATATATATATATATATATATATATATATATATATATATATATATATAGATAGATAGATATTATTTTGAAGGAGAAAAAAAATTAATACGGTACAATTAATTTATATATAAAAAAAACAAAAGCTCGACCCTTCCACGGTTAGCCTGGCATGAAAGGAAGACTTTGAATGGCTAGCTTAGAATCACGTGATATTCGGTTTTTCTCCAGCAAATTCAAGAATTCTCTCATTCTGTTTTGCTACAGGCATTTCTCGTGATAAGACGTGGGGCGAAACCTCTCTCGAAAATACTGGACAGCGAAGACACGTCTTTCCCCCCATCAAACGCGGATAGCAGACGATGAAAGGAAGAACGAAGTTTAGTCTGTCATAGCATGATGGTTACGATGAAATATTATGAACCATCACGACAGATACATACATAGATAGATATTAACAGAATGCCATATATATATATATATATATATATATATATATATATATATATATATATATATATACAGGGAGAGACAGAGACAGAGACAGAGATAGATAGATAGATAGATAGATAGATAGATAGATACGAACAGAATGAGATGAAAAATAGATAGATAGATAGATAGATAGATAGATAGATAGGCATATTGATAGGAACAGAGTGTCACAGATAAATAGATAGATAGGAACAGACTAAGAGAGATAGATAGATATGAAAACAATTTGAAATATATATACATATATATATATATATATATATATATATATATATATATATGTATATATATATAGATAGATAGATAGATCGATAGAAATGAACAGAGTGGCATAGATAGATAAATAGTTAGAGACGAACAGACTGAGATATAAAAAAAATAAGTAGATAAATAGTTAGATAAGAATAGAATGGCATAGATAGATAGGAATACTGTGGCAAACATAGATATATAGAAACAGACTAAGATAGATAGATAGGAACATAGATAGATAGATAGATAGATAGATAGATATGAACATAATGGCATGGACAGATAGATAGATACAGACTGAGATAAAAATAGATAGATAAATATATAGATCGATAGACAGACAGACAAACATTTAGATTTGATTGATACTTCAATATTGACCAAATAATCACTGTGTCGTAATGTATTCACTAATCTTTAAGAGACTTAATTGCAATCCCTAGCTAATATCTTTCGTGCATTGTTGTCGAACATCGTCTCCGTTTCAGGTGCCACTAACCCAAGTGTAAGACAATAAAAATAGAAATTTGCCTCGCTTATAATTAAGTATCAAGAGGAATGTAAAATTTAGCGCCCCAAACCCCATCTTCAGCGTTTCCTCTCGAGGCCTAATTATAACTGACATTTTTGTACATAACCTCACTTCCACTCTCTTTAAAAATATACCTCCATCGATATGAAAATTATCTTAGTCTAATGAAGTCGTTTAATTGGACGAAACGCGTTGTATAATATTTTCTTTCTTTTGAAATTCGATTACTCGTTTTTCTGATCTGTAGATTTTATATATCATATTTCTCCCAAGGTAATACTGGGTGATGCTTTCCCAGTTATCTCCAGTCTCCATTGCCCATTATAGGCATTAGTATATCCGTGTATAGTATCTCCGTGATACACTAACACTTTAACACGGCTGAAGGAAGCGACCCTCGGCCGTTACGATGAATGGATGTCCATTCGAAGAGGCCCCGTTCCTTCAGCGATTGTTTGGCTGTAAACTTTTCCCCGACCTCAAGTAAAACCCTGTACATACGATTCCTTGTCAACGATGCAGAAAAAAATGTTCGCTTTACTAAGTACCTGAGTGGTGTTATCCCCTATCTTTATAAGAGCTGAATTCAAGAGCGTCCTCGCGTCCTTGTGGGTGACAAATTATTTTCTAACCCCCAGCCCGTCCCTCACAGACGAGAAGCAGCAAATCTCTCACTGTTCTATTGCCACTTCCATGGAAAGTGCCCAGACGAATTAAATCCCTTAGTTCCCCCACTTTTAACCATCTCGGTTAGGATCCACCATGTGAGGTACATTGTCTTCCCACCAACCACTGCCCTGTGGAACCGACTCCCAAGAGAATGCTTCCTCGATTACTACAATCTTAACCTGTTCAAGTCTACGGTTAACCGTTATCTGTTACATTTATCCACACAAACTGTACCACCTACTCTGTAGCACTCTACTTCGAGTGGCTCCCGGGCCTTGGAGAGGGTGAAATTTTTTTTGAAAATGAATGGAGCAGAATAGCTGACAAAAGGGATGACAAATATCCATCAATCTCAAGAGATTTTATACAACTATAGACTGGGCAAATAAATGGCAAAGTTGAAAAAAAAATTCTGGGCAACGCGTTTCATCCGCTAGAAGGACTTCATCAGATTATATAATTTTTTTTTTTTTTTTGTTGAGGGAATTATATAAGTGCAGCTAGGTGAGAGATATAAATATATAAGTGCCGGTTATAATTATGTATCAACAAAAAACGATGAAAATTGTGGAACGCTGAAATTTTAATTTTAATCTTTTTGCTTTGTTTTAACGAGTCGTGACATATAGTCTAATCGATTTTTCCCGTTTCCTAAGGCTTTTGCTTTTGTTCTCCCTTTTATTATTGTGCCTCACACTGTGTTAATAGAAATACAAATGTGTATATACCTATTTGGCCTACACAGAGAAACTATAAAATATATAGAGACAACAAACAGTGTGAATGAGAAAAATCGAGTGGGTATTACTTGTAATATTAATTACTTTTTAATACTACTTTTTCGAGAGGGTATTATTTTTTAATACTACTTTTAATATTAAATACTTTTTAATACTACTTTTTCGAGAGGGTATTATTTTTAATGTTAATTACTTTTAATACTACTTTTTTTATTACTGTTAATATTTTTCAAAGGGAAAATGCGCAATTTCGGAGATGTCTGTTGGGTTACATGTTGAGAACAGGCAGTTCTCTCTTTTCTTTTAACTGTCGTGGGAGAACATGCCCTGCTTCTTTGCGGTCTACACAGAGACTGGAGTTCGTCAACCCACGACCTGACGTCGGCCATCGGCCGTACTTCTATTTTTCTTATCATTGCTTATTGTAAACATTTTTAATTCTCTTTGTTAGGCAGTTCTGCCATTTATTTATACCTAACCACGGCCGTTCACTCTAAAATAGAAACTATAACAGATATAGATAAAACAAGCAGTGTGAACGGAGGATATCAGGAGGATCTTGTAATTTCGAAGGGAAAACTGGCTGCACTGGTGGTGTCTGCTGCGTTACATGTTGGGAACATGCAGTTCTCTTAACTGTCGTGAGCAAACATTATTTGCGGTCTACATAAATAGCGTGAAAATTCCTCTTTGGAGGGATTTTCAACGCAGGCTTATCATCCCTCAGTTGCGTCTCTGTCTTTGGGCAGAGTGATCTCAGAGACTTCTCTGTCAAAGGACAGAGAGGCAAATGAAGAAAATAATACTGAAGAGGTGCCCAGCCCTGGAGAACAGCTACGCGAGGCCGCGCCCTCCCATTGCACAAGAGAGGGGGGTCGGTGCTCGCACCGGGGCCAACGGAACCGACGGTTGCGGGGACTGAGGGCAATTTTTGACCTTGTCCCCACCTAAAAAAGACCTTGTGTCAAATCTCGTCCAAATTTTGGGGAAGGAGTTAATACTGTCTACATAGAGACCGGAATTCGTCAACCGAAAACCTGACATCACCCACCGGCTGTCGCGTGACCCTCGTGAATTTCTCTCACTGAATGGGAGGGAACTGGCCTTTGCATACCTGCAGTAGTTTACCTCATCGGTAAACCAGCTTAATTAATTAAAATCCCCTTTTAGAAACCCCGTCTTGTCGACATTTTGTTTCCCGACACTTGCAATGACGGATACATGTTAGCCAGCGAAGCTATTTATTTTCTGAGAAATCTCATTTTTTCTTTTTTTTAATTCTTGGCCTACACAGCAGCGGAAGGAAAAGAACAAAAAATGTATATATATATATATATATATATATATATATATATATATATATATATATATATATATATATATATAAATAAATAAAAATTGGCTCTTAAAGTGTTAATTAAAAGGAGAATTATCCGTTATTTTCGACAACTTTAAAAAATCGAAAAATACGGCATTATTTATTCGTAACGAGCTAATCGTATACTTTGGCATAGTTTTTTTTAAATTTATTTATTTTTTTTATATTTTAAACAACAGCTTCAGTTATGAGCGGAAAGTTAATTAAACACATCTAGCGTAATGAACAATAAAGGCAGAACCACACACATAAACACACACACAAATATATATATATATATATATATATATATATATATCCTTACAGATGTTAACGAAAAAATAAAAGAGAAAGAATGCGATATCGAAAAATTCTTGGTTGAGGGACATGTCCGACATGTTGCTACATACATATGAAAGAATAAAACGCCTTGGGAAAGACAAAGAAGTATGGTTTGACTTCGTTGTGAAATATTCTACGATTTCGTTGCTTCTTTTTGGAGAAAACTTTCATGTTTTATGCTTGCTTTCTCCGTGTTTATAAGACTCCACCCTAATCTATATATTTGACTTTCTCTGTCTCTCTCGCCCACTCATATTCTTGTTGCAGCTTGTCTGAATTAGATCATAAAGAATTGGCACCCCCAAATAACACTGCCGTAGAATTTCATTGATTAAAGTAACAGTGTATGACAGGCACATACGCACAGCATATTACATCCATATATATATATATATATATATATATATATATATATATATATATATATATATATATATATATTTTATATAGTTAAATTCCCAGATGAATTCTGTGGACAAGATGGATTGGTATCAAATGACAATTGGAAAAAAAATCTTACATTTTGCTGACGCGTTTCGTCTTCCGACGTCTTCAAGGCAAAAATGAAATCGAAATGTCTTTGTTGTTATAGTTACATTAAAAATCCAAATTTAAAAAGATAGACGCTTCTGTCTAAGCCTTTTTTTTCCTGGTTAATGTGAATTACTTTTATAGTAGGGGATTATTATTAATGTAAGATTTTTTTTCCAATTGTCATTTGATACCAATCTCTCTTGTCCACAGAATTTATCTGGGAATTTAACTATATTATCGACATGGAAAAAAAAATTAATAATCGCGAAATGTAGGATTTTTTTTTTCCAATTGTCATTTGATATATATATATATATATATATATATATATATATATATGATAATAAGGAGACGGAGACTTTAATTATCCATTTCAGTTATAATTTTAATTTCGTGAACACTGAGTTCAGTTCTCCTGAAGATTGCATCTAGCATGAAACGGACTGTCGCGTGTTGACTTCCATGTTATATATATATATATATATATATATATATATATATATATATATATATATATATATATATATATATCTGTATATATCATTGCTTGAAACGGCTTCTAATTCTCTAGAGTGAGCGGCTTGGTGAGAGTACTCGTGGCTCCAGGGGGCACAGTCCTATGGTTAGAGAGAAACTCAGTCGAGTTCCACCACGGAATATGTGAGCGAGCGGCGCTATATTGAGTCTGATTTGGAGTCTCTATTTCACCGAGTCCCGTTGGTACAGTTGGTATGACGTTTGCATGATAACCTAACTGTTAGCGTTAGCATGATAACCTAACTGGATGCGCACTGATGATGAGTCCCAAATATAGGACTGAAACGGCCGTCCTGTGCTTTCTGCATTTGGATGAGGTTTCTATCAGATTCGATGAATTATTTATATATATATATTCTTTTTAAAAATATGATTTCATCACGACACAGAAAATTTCCATGTTTCAAAAGTGAGACTAAATTTAAAAATTTAATTTTAAAATTTAAATTTAAAATTCATCGTCTCGTTCCATTGTCAAGCGATGCTAGGAATAACTTTCTAAGAAATTTACTTAATTTATAAACGCAGACAATATTAATATTGTGAATTGTTAAGGTTAAGAAAAATTCAATCTATTTTAATTAAG